GGAAGAGAGAAGAGAGAGACGAGAGAGAGAGAGACGAGAGGAAGGAGAGAGAGAGGAGAGAGAGGAGAGAGCGGAGATGAGAGAGAGATGGGGGGGGTAAGGGTGAGTTACAAAAGCCAATTTTCTTGTGACAACAGGAGAAAAGATCTTCAGAGTGGAGGTTGTTGGGGAATAATAGAATTCCAACGATGAAACGATGGACGGTGCTCTCAGAAACTGGCACCGTGAAGACTGCCCGCTCCTTGGGGCTCTGGTAAATCTTGTCTGAAGACCGTCTTGAGTGCCCAACCAACTACACACTTGCACCTCTAAGCCAACAAGATGGGACCGTCTCAACCACCAATCAAGGAAAGGTTACTCCTCCTGACGGCCAACTCGCTGGCAAGATGATAGTTCTTGACCCAATAAAAACAACGTCGACTCCGGTAATGAATCGAACTCGCATCTCTGGACTCTTCCTCAGGCACTGTAGACAATCCAGGAACGCAGGTTCGAACCCATCACATAACCTCAATATTTTTTCTCATAGATGCGTCAGATTATTGTGATTGTGCATTACTCAGTTGTTAATGGTGATTATACAAGATAACAAAGTCCAGAGCTTACTTAAAGCACTCTCTTAAAGCTGACTTAAAGTGGTGGCGTGGCCACACACACACACACACACGCGAGAACCATACCTACCACAGAAGGTATGCAAGCAAGCACCATCATGCAAGATGGTATCTGGCAGCTTCACTCCACAAATGTAAAGAGAGGTTCAGTGGGGTCAATTTAACAGCCTTAAGTGTCACTACTACGTCAATCGGTGGTAATATTCCTGTGACAATAATATCACAATAAATATCGAGTTTACAGCCAAAAGCTGCGATTGTGGTGAACAGCTGCTAAAGCTGTTCACCTTTCTTTCTATTGACCTGCTGCAGTCACCAATGTTCACCTTTCCTGTTGCAGTCACCAATGTTCACCTTTCCTGTTGTAGTCACCAATGTTCACCTTTCCTGTTGGAGTCACCAATGTTCACCTTTCCTGTTGCAGCCACCAATGTTCACCTTTCCTGTTGCAGTCACAATGTTCACCTTTCCTGTTGTAGTCACCAATGTCACCTTTCCTGTTGCAGCACCAATGTCACCTTTCCTGTTGCAGCCACCAAGTTTCACCTTTCCTGTTGCAGTCACCAATGTTCACCTTCCTGTTGCAGTCACCAATGTTCACCTTTCCTGTTGCAGCCACCAATGTTCACCTTTCCTGTTGCAGCCACCAATGTTCACCTTTCCTGTTGCAGTCACCAATGTTCACCTTTCCTGTTGCAGCCACCAATGTTCACCTTTCCTGTTGCAGCCACCAATGTTCACCTTTCCTGTTGCAGTCACCAATGTTCACCTTTCCTGTTGCAGTCACCAATGTTCACCTTTCCTACTATTCATCTTGAGGTCCTACAGTCCATTTCTGTACGTTTGATCAAAGAGTTGTTAGAAGTACGATCATTTCAGGAGTCTGTGCTGAGAGACTCGGTCGTCTGGCAAGGCTGCAAGACTCCCCGGGTCTCTGCTCTGCCTCTAATTAGTGAACACCTTCAAGACCGAGCTCTGAGAGACATTCTTAATGTTGCAGTCTTTAAAATCGCTCAGATGTGCCTGTGTATCTCAGGGGGACTTGTAGCGCCCTAGATCCTGATTCACGAAGCAGTTACGCAAGTACTTACGAACGTGTACATCTTTTTTCAATCTTTGACGGCTTTGGTTACATTTATTAAACAGTTTACAAGCATGAAAACTTTCCAATCAACTGTTGTTATTGTTATAAACAGCCTCCTGGTGCTTCGGAGCTCATTAACTGTTTAATAATTGTAAACAAAGCCGCCAAAGATTGAGAAAAGATGTACAGGTTCGTAAGTGCTTGCGTAACTGCTTCGTGAATCTGGCCTCTCATCCCCACACCTTCCCGGCAGCTTGGGCCGGGCTCCAGCTCCGGGGAGAGGAAAAGGGGTCTTTCCTGGTTGTAAAGTGATCGGGTATCGTGCTCCAGGGGGGAAAAGTAGTCGGCTTTGAGATTTATGGAGAAAGAAAAGTCTATGGCACTACACTACACACAGAAATCACAATTGCGTGATGCATGAAGTCACGGTCGATTAAGGCAGCGTCTGGGATGCTCTCGGACGCAGGTTCGAATCCTCGTCACGGCCCTTGTGGATTTGTTCAAAAGTCTATGGCTTCTACCTGGCCCAGTGTTGTATACTGTCTTCGTCAACCCGTGTTGAAGCTCATCCCCTTCACGCTGAAGCCTTGATGTCTGAACTCTAAACCTGTAATTGTTGAGATGCTTACTGCTACGAGGTTCATAAACCACGAATTATGGGCATATCTGCCTGGGGAATATGTGGATAGGGGGGGGGGGGTTCCTGGTGAGAGAATGCAATTGATGTTCGAAACTGTTGGGCATAACATGACTGCTGGGAGTACTGTGAATGGTCAATGGCAAAGAACGCTCTTTGAATTGGGGATCCTGAAGCTTTTGAGTCTTCACCCGCTATGTAAACCTCTTGCTAAACCTAGCGAACCTCTTGCTAAACCTAGCGAACCTCTTGCTAAACCTAGCGAACCTCTTGCTAAACCTAGCGAACCTCTTGCTAAACCTAGTGAACCTGTTGCTAAACCTAGTGAACCTGTTGCTAAACCTAGTGAACCTGTTGCTAAACCTAGCGAACCTGTTGCTAAACCTAGTGAACCTGTTGCTAAACCTAGCGAACCTCTTGCTAAACCTAGCGAACCTCTTGCTAAACCTAGTGAACCTCTTGCTAAACCTAGCGAACATCTTGCTAAACCTAGTGAACCTGTTGCTAAACCTAGTGAACCTGTTGCTAAACCTAGCGAACCTGTTGCTAAACCTAGTGAACCTGTTGCTAAACCTAGCGAACCTCTTGCTAAACCTAGTGAACCTCTTGCTAAACCTAGCGAACATCTTGCTAAACCTAGCGAACCTCTTGCTAAACCTAGTGAACCTCTTGCTAAACCTAGCGAACATCTTGCTAAACCTAGCGAACCTCTTGCTAAACCTAGTGAACCTCTTGCTAAACCTAGCGAACCTCTTGCTAAACCTAGTGAACCTCTTGCTAAACCTAGCGAACCTCTTGCTAAACCTAGTGAACCTCTTGCTAAACCTAGTGAACCTCTTGCTAAACCTAGCGAACCTCTTGCTAAACCTAGTGAACCTCTTGCTAAACCTAGCGAACCTGTTGCTAAACCTAGTGAACCTGTTGCTAAACCTAGCGAACCTCTTGCTAAACCTAGTGAACCTCTTGCTAAACCTAGCGAACCTCTTGCTAAACCTAGCGAACCTCAGCCAAAAAATATAAAAACTCCAAAGCAGTATGATTAGTTTACATTAGTTCTACTTCTAATTGTCTCATCAATTTCATTTTGTGCTAGAAACTATGTCAATATGTGTCTTATGGCTGTGAGGGTAAATCTCACTTTGTGCAGGCGAGGAGTCACAATAACGTGGCTGAAGTATGTTGACCAGATCACACACTAGAAGGTGAAGGGACGACGACGGTCCCGGACGGACCGAAACGTCGTCGTCCCTTCACCTAGTGTGTGGGCTGGTAAACAGTCTCACTTTGTCTTTACAATATATCACTTTTCAAGTTGTTAGCTAAATGTCACTCACAGTGTGTCTGAGATGTTAGTGAGATGTAAGGCTGCTATTCACCTGTTTAGTCCAGACCGTAATTTAATGATTTGCATAAGTTGTTGTGGATAAAGTTTCCGATTCTGATAACGACAGAAATGTGTACTTAGATTCAACAGAGCAGAAGAAGTTGTTAAACACACGGGACAAACTCTTACTGAAGCGACCATACGAGTCACAAATACTCATACTCCGCCCAAGTAAAACAAAAGCAAGCAACACTTAGTGGGCCAGCCAGAGGCTTAGTGCCCGCCCAGTGGGCCAGCCAGAGGCTTAGGGCCCGCCCAGTGGGCCAGCCAGAGGCTTAGGGCCCGCCCAGTGGGCCAGCCAGAGGCTTAGGGCCCGCCCAGTGGGCCAGCCAGAGGCTTAGGGCCCGCCCAGTGGGCCAGCCAGAGGCTTAGGGCCCGCCCAGTGGGCCAGCCAGAGGCTTAGGGCCCGCCCAGTGGGCCAGCCAGAGGCTTAGGGCCCGCGCAGGAATATCCCCGGAAATGAAAAAAAAAAATGGCTACATGTTATTAATGTACTGTGCTTTTTAGGTGAACTTTCTCAAATATAAATATACAACCAGATATGAATAAAGTCCTTGAGTGACTGATTGATTTAAATGATGTTTGTGTTAAACCTCAAAGCACGTGCTGCTCCGACTTGAGGACGAGTTAAGATACCACACTTGCCAACTCTTATCAAGTCTCTGGCCCATTTACTGCTCGGTACTTCGACGGTCTGGCTTCTTGTAGGGTCGGTGTTCGAGCCCCTAAGGTCTGCAAGCAGTTGGGCTCCGTTCCTTCACTCTATCGTTATATCCAAGATCATTGTCTTTATATTCGTTCCAAGTGCTATATGGTCAGACTAGCATAGCACTTTCTCCCCCATAATTACCTTACGTTCCCTCATGTCTCCACCTATCCTGGCTAGATCAGGAGGGGATGAGGCAGGATAGTTTAACCAGGCCCTTCAATAACTGAAGGATGTTGACGACCTTATTGTCACGTGCTAGACCATCATTCTCAAGTTTTGAAACATCACTCAGGTTTGCGGACAGGAAGAAGATGGCGATTACAACTCAAGGCGCTCAGTCAGCAATATTTTTTTTTCCGTGTTGCATTTTTTCCCCCCTGCATCACTCCCGAGCATATTACTCCATCCGTGATCATTCGTCCACGAACTAGCAGTTGGAAAGTGATCACATCTAGTAGATATCCGAAATAATCAGGCCAACTGACCATTTGAAAGCTTTGATCCATTGATGGTTCCAGCCTTTATACTTGTATGGTTCTATTCTGGTCCAGTATTATATGGTTCTGTACCTTTATGAATGTAATGTATACTTCCATATACATCAGGTCGTACTAGAGCCATATAGTAATTGAGCCAACATTGAAATAAACTAATGTTGGACGCGAGCTGTTGTGCCTCAGAATACATATTGGAAAGGTTGATCATACAGAACCAGAGAGAGAGAGAGAGAGAGAGAGAGGAGAGAGAGAGAGAGAGAGAGAGAGAGAGAGAGAGAGAGGCAGAGAGAGAGAGAGAGGGAGAGAGGGGGAGAGAGAGAGAGAGAGGGAAAGAGGGGGAGAGAGAGAGAGAGAGAGGGGGAGGATTTAGGGATGAGGGGGATGTAGAGGGAGGAGGAGAGGGAACGGAGTGTGAGGAAGGGATTGGGGGGGGGGGGGGAAGGGTAAGGATGGAGGGGAGGGATAGACTGGTCGATCAACTTAAAGTAAATGTTATTGGCGCGGGGTGGGGGGGGGGGGGGAAGGAGAGGGGGAGAATTGGGGCGTTGAGGGGGGGGGACTTGGGGCGTGGAGGGAGGGATTTGGGGCGTTGAAGGGGGACTTGGGGCGTGGAGGGGGGGACTTGGGCGTGGAGGGGGGAATTGGGGCGTGGAGGGGGGGACTTGGGCGTGGAGGGGGGGACTTGGGCGTGGAGGGGGGGACTTGGGCGTGGAGGGGGGGACTTGGGTTGATAGTGGAGGGGAGACTTGGGAGAGGTGTAGAAGAGTGGGGAACTGAGAGAAGAGGTAAGGGGAAGTAAAGGAGAGGGGGAGGAGAGGGAAGAAACTTAGATGAAGGGTACAAGGAGAAGGCAAAGAGAAAAAAAAGAGAAGCAGAGGAAGAGGATGATCTATTGAACGTTAAATGACAGTGTTTGAGAGGTAGCGCTTCGGCTATCTTTAAACACCAATCGTCATTGTATCTGTCTATTAATTCGGTGTTGCTGGTTAGAATATCCCTAGTGATTGCAGGCGAGGAGTCACAATAACGTGGCTAAAGTAAGTTGACCAGACCACACACTTAGAAGGTGAAGGGCGACGACGTTTCGGTCCGTCCTGGACCATTCTCAAGTCCATTGTGAGACCATTCTTAAATCGACAATCGACTTGAGAATAGTCCAGGACGGACAGAAACGTCGTCGTCCCTTCACCTTCTAAGTGTGTGTGGTCTGGTCAACATCCCTAGTGATTGTCTGATTGTATGTTAACATTTTGTGATATTTAATAGAGCCTTATGCAGGCGATGAGTCACAATAACGTGGCTGAAGTATGTTGACCAGACCACACACTAGAAGGTGAAGGGACGATGACGTTTCGATCCGTCCTGGACCATTCTCAAGTCGATTGAGAATGGTCCAGGACGGACCGAAACGTCGTCGTCCCTTCAACTTCTAGTGTGTGGTCTGGTCAACTTAATAGAGCCTTATTTGTGCATTATCAGACTTGCTGAAAAAAAATCGGCTGTCGTCTTGTCTATATATTGAGATCGTTGAGACTGACAGTCCCCCTAGGTGAGAATATACGACATAACGTACGTCTAGGCTCGTCCTGCCATCTATACGACCAAGAGAGAACTGCCAGTTCCACCACATCCTCTGCCTCCAGGGAAACACTGAGATTGTGGGGCCTGATTGCCTGGGCCCACTACGTTCCTTCGCGTGTTTTGTTTCCGACGCCGAATTTAGACGTGAATATTTTTCTTTCATTAACGCAAAAATTTGTGATTATAGAGAAGTGGGAAGGGAAGGAGGCCTCTTGTCTTGTGAGGTGCTCCTGGTTTTCAGTCTTGTGTAGAGGCGTCGTTAATCGGTCATGATATCACGTGTTTACAAGATTCATTTTTGGTGTGTGTGTAATTACCTAAGTGTAGTTACAGGATGAGAGCTACGCTCGTGGTGTCCCGTCTTCCCAGCACTCTTTGTCATATAACGCTTTGAAACTACTGACGGTCTTGGCCTCCACCACCTTCTCACCTAACTTGTTCCAACCGTCTACCACTCTGTTTGCGAAAGGGAATTTTCTTATATTTCTTCGGCATCTGTGTTTAGCTAGTTTATATCTATGACCTCTTGTTCTTAAAGTTCCGGGTCTCAGGAAATCTTCCCTATCGATTTTATCAATTCCTGTTACTATTTTGTATGTAGTGATCATATCACCTCTTTTTCTTCTGTCTTCCAGTTTTGGCATATTTAATGCCTCTAACCTCTCCTCGTAGCTCTGCCTTCAGTTCTGGGAGCCACTTAGTAGCATGTCTTTGCACCTTTTCCAGTTTGTTGATGTGCTTCTTAAGATATGTGTGTGTGTGTGTGTGTGTGTGTGTGTGTGTGTGTGTGTGTGTGTGTGTGTGTGTGTGTGTGCGTGTGTGCGTGTGTGCGTGTGTGTGTGTGTGTGTGTGTGTGTGTGTGTGTGTGTGTGTGTGTGTGTGTGTGTGTGCGTGTGTGCGTGTGTGCGTGTGTGCGTGTGTGTGTGTGTGTGTGTGTGTGTGTGTGTGTGTGTGTGTGTGTGTGTGTGGTGTGTGTGTGTGTGTGTGTGTGTGTTTCTTATTGTGCCTGCAGGATCGAACTGTTTACGCCCTTTGACCCCGTCTTTCTATCGTCGGCTGTCTAATACACTGACCTATCCCACCGTATCACCCCCCCCCACACACACACACACATCTCCAGGATGCAGGAGTACCTAATTTACCATTAGGTAAATACCAGGGATTCATTAGTGTGTGTTTACCTGTTCAAGGTTAAGACAGGAGTAGAGGTATGAACCCTATTTACCGTAAGAAATAAAAACAGGTTCCCTGTCAGTTGTCAACCACAATAACGTGGTTGACGATTTATATGACTCGGTCGAGGATTACCTGTAAGGCCTCGGTGCTCAAGGATCAGCCCAGGGAAGAGGTCAAGCTCCAGATAAGGCAGCAGCTGGTGTCTCTGGCGCTCCAAGACATTCCCACAGAAATGAGATACAAAGACAAGCGATAAACAGAGGGCAAAGCGATCACCCAATTAGATAAACAGTAGAATGAGCCCGAGGCAGCACAGACAGACAGACAGACAGACAGACACAGGCAGACCTACAACCGCCTACTCTCCAGCACACACGTTAAATCCCTGATAATTTATTCATGAACAGAACATCACAGAGTAAATGAGCTCACTGCCAAAGTAAACTGGGCCTAATGAATAACAAGGGAGAGGGAGGGATGGAGGGAGGGAAGGAGGGAGGGAGGGGGAGGGAAGGAGGGAGGGATGGGAGAGAGAGAGGGAGGAAAGGAGGGAGGGAGGGAGGAAAGGAGGGAGGAGGGAGGGATGGGAGAGAGAGAGAGGGAGGGGGGGAGAGAGGAGAGAGGGAGGGATGGAGAGGAGGAGAGGAGGAGAGAGGAGAGAGAGAGAGAGAGGAGAGAGAGAGAGCGAGAGAGAGA